CCATTTTTAATTCTTTTTACTCTTTTACTTTAAAATTTCTAACATACCAAGTACACAAAATTTAACGAATAAACTAAAAAGATATTGAATTTTAAACTTTAAAAACTATACAGAGATTTTTTTAAATAAAAAACTAAAAATCACTTTTTACCAAAGTATAACGATCAAAATAAAAATTCAACCTTAATAATATGACATTTTATTTAATATTATGTAAAATTATAAATTTATAATTTTACGTAATATTATAATTAAAATTATTATTATTTAAAGAAATCATTCTTACTACCACATCTTAAAAAATTTTAAAATAAGAAAAATAAAATTCAGAAACGATAAAAGGTACGGATTCCGATTCCCCTCGGGTTGGTTTTCTGCATGTATTATTGTATTCTACCATTAGAAAACAAAAGGACAAATATCTGCTGGTATTGCCGAAGTCATCGAGAATGCACAGTAAGAACAAAAGGAAATCGGAATCACAGATATAACAAAATCCTGTTTTGGTGTCAACTAGCTTGTTCTACAGTATAAAACATGTTCATATGTCCCATTGCAAAAGAAAACACAATATTATCCCGTAAATGAGAACATGAATCACTTCCAGAGCTTTCGTAAGGACATGTTCTTCTCTGTTTCCTTCTTCATTACCTTGGCCACTGCCATCTCAAAATCCTCCTGTGTTACATGAACCCGCCTTTCCCTTAAAGCAAACATTCCTGCTTCTGTGCACACAGCCTGCACCCAACATAATTTGTCATTTGTCAAACAAGCATGTAAATTGCATCACCTTTGATGGGAAGAGAGTTTAATAATTTAACCACACGGTTTTGCAAGTAGAAATTAGTTCTCCAAATGTGCAGCAACAGGCATATCTTTAACAAACATAGTCCAGTGAACAAGACAAAATGCTACAAGAATTATCTCCTTCATCAACAACCAGCCACATATTAAGTTCAAGGAGTATCTGTTTGCATACCTTAAGCTCTGCACCAGATGCGCCATTCATCTTCTCCGCAATCTTCTTCAAATCAATCCCACGCATCAAATTCATTTTTCTTGAATGTATCTTCAAGATATCCAGGCGTGACTACATAATCAAACAAAAACGTAGACAGAATTAGTACTACATGCTCAGTAGAAAACAAAAATTTTTACCAAACACTTTTCTAGAATCAATCATAAACAGAGCACGTAATGCACGCTGTCTGCACGAGATCCCACAACCCCCTTTCTTCCCAACCTCCCCTGTTCCCTCTCCTGTTCTTTCAGAAAAGTACTGAATAGCTATTAGATGCTTTGGCTTTTTAGGTGGCCATGCAAGTAATCATAAGATTTTGAGAGATCCTCTACAATACCTACCCACCCAACCCTTTTAAAATGGTAGTATCTGTTATGATTGCACTTTCACTATGAAAATCAGGAACACAACTACTTAATGCATTACTTCTCTTCCAAATCATCCCCACCACCAAACCCCAAGTAGGCTCCTCTTATTCTTAGAAGTACAGCAAGGCAATAAGGATGTCTTTAGCCAGTTGACTAGGGAATCAACAGATGCAAAACTGAAATTGTAAATCGCAGGAGAAAATTTCTCTAATCTTCACTTCCAAAAATGGAATCAGGACTTTGTACCTCTTCATTAGGATTTGGAAATTCAATTTTCCTGTCAATACGTCCAGGCCTAAGAAGTGCTTGATCCAGGATATCAATCCGGTTGGTGGCCATGAGAACCTGTTAAAGGAATCTCTCAAGGTGGGTAAATAGGAAGTATAAATTGTAGATAACAATATGCAACCATGATATTCTCTCCCTAATTCACTATATTCACATTATTTTTCTATTATCAATACCTTGATCTTGTTAGATGCTTCAAATCCATCAAGCTGGTTGAGAAGCTCCAACATGGTACGCTGAACTTCACTATCACCATTGCCACTCCCAGATTCCATTCGAGCAGATCCAATACTGTCTATCTCATCCATAAATATAATTGATGGAGCGTGCTCCCTATGGGTAAGAGAAAGGATGAAAACAAAAAAAGGAACTACATTAGTAAGACAATACAGACAGCAGATGTAGCTCTAGTTGTCTCTTAAGACTACCAGGCAACCAAAGCACAGATTGACTGCAGATGACATGTAAAGCCATTTGAATATTAAAAAGGAAGTTGACCTACTCATCATCAAACATCCAACATTTTTCTAGAAGTAAAGGGCTCCAAAACAGAACATATATGCACAAGGAAGATAAAAGCGTACATAACTCTATTTACACACATAATTTACATTAATGTACTTTATATATATTTTATTTACTTAGTATATCTTACGTGACTGTCAGCTAGATATGCATGCCTAAATAATGATTCGGCACTACAAATAGATTAAGAACAAATAGCAAAGAAGAAAACAAACCTGGCCATAACAAAAAGTTCTCTGACCATTCTTGAACCTTCTCCAATATATTTCTGAACTAATTCAGAACCAGACACCCTGATAAAAGTACAATCAGTATGATGAGCCACAGCTCTAGCCAACAAAGTTTTCCCTGTACCCGGTGGACCATAGAGCAGGACACCCTATCACATAACAAAGCAAGTTTTATATTAGCAATTTAATCATCCCTATATCAAAATGAATCACCAGACGCTACAATTTGGTAACAAAATAGCACCTTGGGTTGTGCTATTCCAAGACTCTCAAACAACTCAGGATGCTTGATTGGAAGCTCTATGACCTGAAAAGTTATCACATAGCTAATCATTCACAGCTAGGCATGACATTCATAGATAAAGGATATCAAAATAAGAAAATATGCAGATAAATAAGTCAAAGGGCAGGGGAAAAAACCTCTTTTATCTCCTTGATTTGTTGATCAAGGCCACCAATCATGTCATATGTAGAATCCGGAACTTTCTCAACTTTCATGAGGTTAACCAAGGGATCTACTTTGCTGGGCAAGATCAAATGCAGAACATAACTATCATTCCGGAGGGCAACTCTTGTAGATGGCGTGATTTTTGTGATATCAATGCTTTTATCAATATCAACAACATATTTTCCTTCTGGATGAACCTGGACAGATGCCAAGTTACAACCAATAAGCATGCTAAGAGGAAAAAGAAAAACATACATTATATAATGGTCCGACAAATTAATACAGCTTAAAATGATGCCAAAAATCCAGTGGATAACAAAATCTAAAGCACATCTTTTACAGGGAAAGAAAGCTTTACTTAAGTTAGAAATTTGTCTTAAGTATATTTCTCCTGACTAGTTGCTTGTCTCTTTGATATTATTGACAATATCTGCCCCATCTCTCTCAAAAACTCACCAGACAGCACACAACACAAATAACAAGCAAATCCAGAACAATCACTACATTCAAATATCTTCTGTCAACAATCAACCATCCAAGCAGAAAGTTCATCAAACCTGACAGGTCCAACCCCAAACCAAAAAGAAATAAAGGTGTTGAGAAGGTCAGAGAGTAAGTAGGAATGCAAGGAAACATACCTTAACCAAGACCTTATTTTTACCCATGACTTTCACAACCTCCCCAACATATGATCCAGGCTCCTGAAGCAGTTGCAGTTCTTCTCTGAGCATTCTTACTGTAAGATAAGTAAACTTAAACAATGTCAATCACAAGTTCAACAATCCCACTATCTTTAGACAAGAAACATAACTAAAGAGAGCATGACCGGAAAAATATACAGTTCCAATCCTATAACAGACTCCATAAATAAGGTTCCACTCTTTTCCCTCATTAAGGGAAGCGAAGTATGCCAGGAGAATAATCATCATTGACATAACCTAGATCCAAGTCATTCTAAATATAACTCCATATTTCACCGCAATGATCAGCAGGCAACAAAATCCAATTTTGCAATCTTTCTAGGTATCACTAGTAACCCCTTCTTCAAAACCACCCTAATCTCCCCTCATGAGACCTGAGTCCAAATTATTTTATCCTCAAGATCAAAGCTTTAAGGTAAAATTTGACAAAAACATAATCTCAAAGGAAAATTTCCCACTGCTGAAAACAAGACGCAACAAACAAAAGGAAGTAACAGAAAGTTAGGGAATAGGATAAAGAAGGCGACGCAGACCTCGAGAATTGAGTTCGTTGCGCTGGGCTTCAAGGCGATTGAGGTTGTGAGTTTTCTGGCGGACCTGAAGCTGGTGCTCGTGGATGTGCTGGAGATAGTATTGCCTGAGGCCTTCTCCTTGCTTAGCCCCACCCTTGGCCGTGCACATATCCTGCGCCGACGAATCAGCTTGCTTCCTGTCAACGCCCACGGAAGCCATTACTCCTGTTTAGAAAGAGAAAAAGCGATGGAAAAAGGGGACGATCGGTCGTCCTTGTGGCTTCGCCGGCAGGAACTGTAATCTCCGTGAATACTGGTACCTAATTAATCATTATCACTTCTTGGGCTTAATCCTGAGGCGGTTAACGAATAAATGGGCCTACCACCTGCTTCTTGGGACTCTTTTGGGCCAAATGGACTTAAATTCATAATGAAAACGGCCGAGGGGCTTTGCTCCCAAAACTGTAAAATACGTTTGGATTGAGCAAATTGAATATAGGATTGAACCTGTGATTCAAAACACAAATTAAGGATATAATTATTGTAATTTTTTAATATTAATTAAGTATTAAAAAATAAAAATTAATTTTTATTTAAATAATTATTTAATTAAAATAATTTATATGACATTTGTGATGAAATTAATGACAACTTTTATATATTTTTAATATTAATTAATATTAAAAAGATACAATAATTACACTTTTAAGTTTTAACATGTTCCTCATTAGAAAAACCCATTGAATATTTAAAGGTAAAAAATGAAGAATAATTTTTATTCAATGGAATTAATGAATAGAATCAATA